GAGTCTGATGACTAAAAACAATGCATAACTATGTGCTTTTCAATAACAAGTGTTACCCACTTTGTTTCAGTAAAAAATTACGAATTGTATTCGAGAAATTAAAAAAAATTTGTTTTTAGGGGTGAACTTTAAGGGTGGGTTTCACCCCTTAAATAGGCTTATGGGCACGTATAAAAAAATACGCGTCGAATATTTTTTGATGTTCTACAACATATCACAATTTCAAGAAAATCGGTGAGGTACACCTCGGGTACCTTCCTTGTAAGTTAGCACGTAACATACTGCCGTGATTTCCTTATAGTTTTATCCAATGATAAATTTTGTAATAATGGAAAGAAGGGAAATCGTGATAGATAGAAATTCACTTAATTTTAATTATATTCAGCAACGTTTCGTCAGCATATTTGCTGACCTCTTCAGGCTGATTTCTCTCGTAGTCAAATTATTACATACTAAAACGAACAGCTCGTAGCCAGTCACGTTACAATACTGACTAAGATAGCGCTGAATGAGGCAAAAGATAAAGAATTATTATAATTACGTATGCGTTCGAAAAAAATTGATGACTTATCATGTTCGCCATTAAATAAAGCTTTCAGCTGAAAAATAAAAAATTTCATCTAATTTAACTGATCCATGACTGCAACAGTCATTGAAAGTAATCCTCTATTTGAAACTTTTTCATCCTTAAAATTTTAGCTTAACAATGTTTACATAAAATATTCTTTAATTCCAAGTAATCCTTTTCAATTATATTGTTATTTGAAATGCGATTATTGTCAGTAATACGTTGTAGATCAATTTGTCGCCTACGATTTTGATTTTCTGTTTCTCTAATTCGTCTTTTCTGATGATCAGCATGTGCTTCTTCATCTGTATAATTTCGTCTCCCCATGATTGTTGAGTTTTCAGTTAAAAGCATATTCGATAATTTATATATTTGAATAAAATTGATTAATTGATTTCTAATATATATTGTACAAAATATAAATAATTGGATATTGAATATTATGATCACATTAGACTGAGAACAACAAAATTCTAGGTCAACCGGGATATTCTATTTAGTACATTAGGTTAATATCATTTATAATTTCGGCTTAATTTTATATCTGTGTATATTATAAATAGATTAATAAAAATAAAAATTTATTTCAAGACATTATTTAAATACAAATGAAGTTCATGTACGAGAGTGGTCCGATAAGTACTTAGCCTACAAAAGAAAAACGAAAATTTTGGAAAAGTGGCGTTTTATTTTTCAACATAGTCTCCTTTTAGTTCAATACACTTGGCCCAGCGATGCTCCAACTTCTTTGGCCCGTCTGAAAAATACGTTTCCTCGAGGTCTGAAAAGTAGGCTTCCGTGGCAGCGATTACCTTCTCATTCGACTCAAATTTCTGCCCGGCGAGTGACTTTTTCAAGTTTGGAAACAAAAAGAAGTCGCATGGGGCTAAATCTAGAGAATACAGTGGATGGGCCAGCAGTTCGTAGCCTAATTCGACCAATTTGGCCATGGCGACGGTGGAGGTGTGAGCCGGTGCGTTGTCATGGTGGAAGAGCACTTTTTTCTTCGCCAAATGGGGCCGTTTTTTCTGCAATTCGACGTCGAATCGGCCCAATAATTCGGCATAGTACAGCTCTGTGACCGTTTTGCCCCTCTCCAGGTAGTCGATGTAGATCACACCTTGTGAATCCCAGAAAACGGTGGTCATCACCTTTCCGGCCGATGGGGCAGTCTTCGCCTTCTTCGGAGCACTTTCGCCGGGTAAAGTCCACTGTTTCGACTGTTCCTTAGTCTCTGGTGTATACCAGTGGATCCATGTTTCGTCGACTGTCACGAAACGACGCAGAAACTCCTTTGGATTGCGCTTAAACAGCGTCAGCATTGCTCTGAAGTTGTCTCACGGTTGCGCTTGTTATCCGGAGTGAGCAAACGCGGCACCCATCCCGCCGACAGCTTTCTCATGCCCAAAATTTCATGCAGGACATGACCCACGCGGTCTTTTGAGATGCCTACGATCTTAGCTATCTCGCGCACCTTCAATCGTCGATCTGCCAATACGAGATCGTGAATTTTTGTCACGTCATCCTCCGTGGTAGCCGTTTTCGGAGCACCTGGACGTGGCTCTTCAAAAATCGACGTGCGACCACATTGAAACTCGTTAAACCAATTTCTGACGATCGCCATCGAAGGAGAAGAGTCACCATCCACAGCATCCAAGCGCTTTTTGATTTCGCTGCGTGATTTCCCTTCTAAAAACAAGAATCGAATCACCGACCGATACTGCTCTTTTTCCATTTTTAAAAAATCAACGGACACACTTGCTTTCACACGCTCTCAAAAATAAACTACAACTCCGATCCCGCTGAAATCTTGACAGTAACCATCGAGAAGGTTGTACTACGTGATAGAATATTTCTTTTGCGAGAGTGGCGCCATCGGGCGGTGAGGCTAAGTACTTATCGGACCACCCTCGTATATGTACAATGATAGAATAATCAGGCCAAAATCACGCGGGAACCAGAAACTGCCCGATTGCAATGTATTATTTAAAGTTTTTCTCAGACTTATGTGAAACTGCATTTTGAACCGCTACCCCCCTCATATCGAAATTATGAGATGTTTGAGAGCACGCTGAGAGCACCTACAAATGATTTACGACTGTAGCAACCAGTGTCGCCTGCAAGAAAATCAGCACTCGACGCTGATCGCGGAGCGCACACATTTTTTCTCTCAAGTTTCTGCGGGTCTTTTTCGAGAAATAAAAGACCTTCCCATCTCATTTTACAAGTAATATGTACAGACTTTGTGTCCGGGAAAAAATGCGACTTCGGAACATTTCTACTTCTCAAAATAACTCTAAGAAATTTTGTAAGCTACTGACGCCAAATGTATTGATAAGTGTCAAAAAGCAAAAAAATGTAAGAAAGGTCGAGCTGTAAATTTAGATGGATGTGTGCGATTCTGCGTGATGCGCACTGATGCAATGTTGATTTTATAATAGAGATTTGATATAAATCAAGAAGTTGAGTTCCTCGAAACTTTGAATGTTTTATATTCATGAATAGCGAAAACTGTACCTGTGAACGAAGTCCACTGTCCATAAGCTCCAATTAAGCACGCGCATCGCCAGAATTGATGTTAGCTTGCGAATCAAACCAGCATATCGTAAACGTGTATTTCTGAATCTCACATCGAGATAAAGACTTGAAGGTTGACACGTGATGTGAGCGGAACAGCAGGCTAAAACACCGTCATTGGCGGCAAGCGAAAACAAGCAACGCCCTACAGCCATAAAGCCGCGAAAAAGGAGAGGGAAAATCGTAGTAGTTCTTTCACTGTTTCAGCGCGCATCAAACAGAACCGTTCGACCTCTCACTTAGGCAAGGTAGCTTTAACATTTTTTTTTGTGCGAGAGTTGTTTACAGCAACTCATTGATTATGTGATTTTTTTTTGTATTTTACTGTTAGCGTCATTTGGTATACCTATCATTTTTATTTTGATTACCTGTAATTTAGAGTAGTAGTATTGTAAGTTCGTAGGTTTAATAATTTTTAAATCTGTGTAATCAAATTTTATCTAATTCCACTTCTCAACCCGAATAGCTTATACTTTGTGCACAAATTATCAAAATGTTTTGAAAATTTTAAGTTTTATGAATTCAATCAATGTTAGAAAAATATAAATACTTGGTAAAAATTAAATAGCAACGAGAATAAATGAATAATGCGTATATTTGAACTTAATAATTATTTTTAAGTAAGAAAATTGAATTTTATAATTAATTTTAAGCTGTAATATAGAATGTAGTCTTTTACATACAAAAATAAAATAGTATCGTCATTACAGTCTTTATAATAGTACAATAAATCTCACGACCCTATTGCACCGACTTCTGCTGGTCAACTAGTCAAGTTTACGTTTTTAAGAAGCTTGCATAGTACGGAAGTAATCATCCAAGTAAGATTATAAATATTTTATACATTGTCTGACATAGAATAAAAATAAAAAATATATAATTTAAAGAAGATTAAACAAGTACTTCTTTTGCTAACTCTAAATAGTCTGCGACAAATATCGCTAATATTTCTACTTCAATTAGAATTAATATTTATTCATTTGGAAATATACTTGTGTTAGACCTCCTAGAGTATTCAATTTAATAGTCTCAGCCGCAATTTCAAATTAAAACCATCAATACCAGTTTTTTTAAATCCGTACAATTTAAATTAATATTGTAACGGACTTTCCAGTGCAAAGCGTGAAGTTGCTCGATTAAAACAGAATCCACAATGTATTCAATCCTTAGATATTTGACCACATATACGTTTACTTCAAACATTCAGAACCGACAAAGGTCACAGTTACGTTAGCACATGAGCATTTTTAATTTGAAAGTGCACGACTTAGCAATTAATCAGATATTGATCTGAGCGAGGATCAATTAACGGTTGTCCAAGGGAAATGTACAGCAGATACCGTACGTTCATTTGCCACCTACCTGAGGTGAAGATTTGTATTGCTATCGTGAACTACGATTTCTTCACCTTTATTTATGGTTAGTTTCTTTTTGTACGCAAAAATTAGAATATTTTAATGATTTACATAATATTGCATATGATAAAATTTTGAATACATTTATCAGCATATTTTAACTTCTGCAAGTACCGACATTTATACACATATGCTTCACAAAACTAGATTATGAGATAAATGATAAATAATCCATAGATAAGTAATATATAATAATTACAGGAAAATCGTTTTTAAAATTATATATATTAAAGTCGCCATTTGATTTTAAATTATATATGATCGAGCCATTATAGTGCGCATTATTACATAAAATTTTAACATTATCAAATTTTATTTAATAATGTTATTTAATAATGTTGTTTATTTAATTAAATTTGATAACATCATTAAATTTTATTTAATAATGTTATTTTTTCTGATTGTCATTAAATCATAATTGTTGAAATTATAAATTACAGTGGGAAAATCACAGTAAATCGTTAAAATTAGAAGAACAAACGATGGAGGAAATAAAGTTACGCATAAATAAAAAAGTTATGAATTCAAGTGGTACCTGGATAGATTGGCAACATTTATTCGAAGCAGCATCATTATTAGCTCGCTGTCGTTATACTTTACAGTATACGTATCCTTATGCGTATTACATGGAAGGAGGTCCCCGAAAAGAGTTGGTTAGTAACATATTTTGCATACTTATAAATAGGTGTAATAATAAGTTGTGAGAATAATTTACATTATAAAAACCATTTATAAAATAAAATTATTTATAATTTTTTCATTATAAAATCCTTACGATTATTATAGAATTGGCATTATTATTTCAATAGTATGTTAGATGCATTATCGAAATTATTAATATAAGATAGTTTTAGGGCATACTAACAAATTATATGTAACCTAAAACTACGAGGGTAGGTCAATAAGTCCTTAAAAAAAGATAGAAAAACAAGCTCGATACACTTTTCCATGCCTCTTTCGAGTTTTTTTAAGCTACAAAAAAAAATAATTTTGGAACTTTCTCAAAACAGTTATTTGTTTGTGTTATGACCTCCTTGTTCGATATGAATTATTGTCCGGCAAGACACTTTTTTAGGTTTGAAAATAGAAAAAAATTCACTAAGGACCAAATCTGGTGAATACGGTGGATGGTCTACTAATTCGAACTTCAATTCCTTAATTTTAGCCATTGAAACTAAGCAAGTGGGTACTCGTGCGTTCTCTTGATGAAATAGAATATTTTTTTGTTCAAATGAAGACGTTTTTCCTTTATTTTCTCGCTTAACCGGTCCAACAACGGCGCATAATACTCTTCGGTATTATTTTTCTAAATAGTCGATGAAGAAATAATTCCACGTGCATCTCAAAAAATAGTGGCTGTAACCTTGCCGGTTGATTTCACTGTCTTCACCTTCTTTGGAGCTGGTTGACCTTTCACAATCCACTGTTTTGACTGTTCCTTCGTCTTAAGAATATAGTGGTATATCCACGTTTCATCTACCGTTATGAGTCGACGCAAAGTCATCCGGATTACAGTTGATGGGCGCTAAGAGGGTCTTAGTGGCCACCATTTGACTGCGTCTGTTCTCGACTGAGAGAAAACGCGGCACCCATCGTGCCGAAATTTTTTTCTTTTTCACTTTTTCATGCGAAATTGAAATGACTGTACATTTTGAAACCACTGTGGTCTCAACTATTTTGCGCAATTTTATTCTTCATTCAACAATTATTATAATTTATTCGGTCACTCAACAACATATCATGGATTTTATTGATAATTTCCGGAATGCTCACGTCTACAGGACAGTCTGAAAGATTTTCACCTTCAGTCGATGTACGGCCACGTTTAAATTCATTTACCCAATAGTAAACAGTTGCTTACACAGGGGAAAAACATCATGACCTGCATCTAACTTAGCTTTGATTTCTTTCGATGTAAGCTCTTTTGATTAGAAATGTTTCATCACGGCTCGAAACTCATTTTTTCCATTGTTAACAAGAAACAAAAGTTGTTCATTTTGATTGACGATAAAAACTACTCGATGGATCTGGCTGAATCTTCAGTAATTTATCTGGCAGTACTTTATTTTATAGTGACGTTTGCTGGTGCAACATAAGTTGGGTTGCTTTTGATCGCTATCTCTTGAATTTTCTAAAGACTTATTGACTCACCCTCGTAAATATTTTTATAGGTAATTATAAGATTGAGATTAGCTCAATCCGGAGAATCTATGAAGAAATGAAGTACATATAAGCAAAAGTGTGAGACTTTTTATTTCCGCATAGTTGCTTATCGTGAATGTCTTTTCTAAAGTGATTCAATTGATATTGTCTAAAGTATAGCACTTAACTTTAAAAAGCTAATCTTACAAGATGTAAGAGTGCTGTTTCCATCCCGATTTACGGTGACTGTAACTTGTGATTTTTAGTATTCAACATTTTTTCTAACGTAAAAGTATTATGAAGTACATTCAAACAGTCACGTGTTTTATCTGATTTACGAGATGTGTTCAAAAAGTAACGAGAATTTTTAAATTTCGCGGGTTTGGAGAGTCCGCTTGTACAAAATTTTTTTTATTATGTTGGTACACATGCCCCTGAAGTACGATAAAATTTTCAGCAATATTCATTGCTTACTTTTTAAGTCGCAGCCGCTAACGTTAGACGTGTTTTTCGAGCTCGGCGATTTTCGTTTGTGAAAAAAAATGGATCAAAGAATTTGTATTAAATTTTGCGTAAAAAATGAAATAAAGTGTAGTAAAGTTTGTCAAATGTTAACAAAGGCATATAGTGAGTCTGCTATGAGTAAAGCAAGGATTTATGAGTGGTATAAGCGTTTCCAAGATGGCCACGAAAACGTTGAAGATGACGAACGACCCGGACGCCCAAGCACATCAACAACCGATGAAAACGTGAAAAAAGTGAAAGAAATGGTTATGAACGATCGCCGAATCACAATCAGAGAAGTCGCTGATGATGTTGGCATATCAGTTGGCTCATGCCATCAAATTTTTTCGAATGTTTTGGGTATGAAACGTGTGGCAGCAAAATTCGTTCCAAAATTGTTGAATTTCGAACAAAAACAGCGGCGAATGGAAGTTGCTCAGGAGTCGCTAAATGAAGTCAATAACGATGCAGAACTACTAAAACGTGTTATAACAGGTGACGAAACATGGGTTTACGGATATGATGTCGAAACTAAGGCTCAATCGTCCCAGTGGAGGCATTCTGGATCGCCAAGACCGAAAAAGGCTCGACAAGTACGGTCGAATGTGAAGGTTATGCTCACTGTGTTCTTCGATTTTAATGGCATAGTGCATTATGAATTCTTGCCACAAGGTCAAACAATCAATAAGCAGTACTACCTACAAGTTCAACGTCGTTTGCGTGAAGCAATCCGAAAAAAACGCCCGGATTTGTGGCAAAACAATTCATGGCTTTTGCACCACGATAATGCGCCTGCTTACACTTCATTGCTTGTTCGTGAATTTTTGGCCAAAAACGTCGGCCTTTTAATGTTCTCTTTATTTTTGGAAATAGAAAAAAGTCACATGGAGCCATATCTGGCGAATATGGAGGCTGAGGCATCGTTACAGTTTCGTTTTTGGCCAAAAATTCACGAACAAGCAATGAAGTGTGAGCAGGCGCATTATCGTGGTGCAAAAGCCATGAATTGTTTTGCCACAAATCCGGGCGTTTTTTTCGGATTGCTTCACGCAAACGACGTTGAACTTGTAGGTAGTACTGCTTATTGATTGTTTGACCTTGTGGCAAGAATTCATAATGCACTATGCCATTAAAATCGAAGAACACAGTGAGCATAACCTTCACATTCGACCGTACTTGTCGAGCCTTTTTCGGTCTTGGCGATCCAGAATGCCTCCACTGGGACGATTGAGCCTTAGTTTCGACATCATATCCGTAAACCCATGTTTCGTCACCTGTTATAACACGTTTTAGTAGTTCTGCATCGTTATTGACTTCATTTAGCGACTCCTGAGCAACTTCCATTCGCCGCTGTTTTTGTTCGAAATTCAACAATTTTGGAACGAATTTTGCTGCCACACGTTTCATACCCAAAACATTCGAAAAAATTTGATGGCATGAGCCAACTGATATGCCAACATCATCAGCGACTTCTCTGATTGTGATTCGGCGATCGTTCATAACCATTTCTTTCACTTTTTTCACGTTTTCATCGGTTGTTGATGTGCTTGGGCGTCCGGGTCGTTCGTCATCTTCAACGTTTTCGTGGCCATCTTGGAAACGCTTATACCACTCATAAATCCTTGCTTTACTCATAGCAGACTCACTATATGCCTTTGTTAACATTTGACAAACTTTACTACACTTTATTTCATTTTTTACGCAAAATTTAATACAAATTCTTTGATCCATTTTTTTTCACAAACGAAAATCGCCGAGCTCGAAAAACACGTCTAACGTTAGCGGCTGCGACTTAAAAAGTAAGCAATGAATATTGCTGAAAATTTTATCGTACTTCAGGGGCATGTGTACCAACATAATAAAAAAAATTTTGTACAAGCGGACTCTCCAAACCCGCGAAATTTAAAAATTCTCGTTACTTTTTGAACACACTTCGTAGATGACATTAAAAGCGAATCGCTGAAAGAGCTAAAAGCTATTACAAAGATCGAGTTTCAAAAGTGTTTCGAGGATTGGAAAAAGCGTTGGCATAAGTGTATTGCATCCGAAGGGGACTACTTTGAAGGCGACAACATTAATGTAGATGAATAAATAAATATTTTTTTCATAAAACGAAAATTCTCGTTATTTTTTGAACACACCTCGTATATCCTAATGGAATCGTGAAAAATGCCTTTTTTTCTTCTGAGCTTTCAGTCTCCACGGTTTCGGTAATATAAATTCACTAGTTCCACAAGTTAGATACTGAGGGTCATCTCCTTGAAAGTGTTTTAATTAGCTTTTTGAGGAAATATATTTTCAAAATTCTTATCTTAAGCGGCTGGCCGCGCAATTTGTTATTCTTCGCTATTTTCGGAGCGGACTTCCAAGTTAACGAGTGGTTGTAAGCCGATACTGTCCTTTACAGAGGATGATGAGTAACTAAAAAGACTTATTGTACGGCCGATCTCGCAGCGGCAAGGATCCTCGAATTTGTCGAACAATCACTAGCGAGAATGTGATTGCAACGTTATTCATATCGGCCCAAGATTCACGATCCATGCCGGAAGTAAAACACAGTTACGCGTTGTAGACTGGCGGTAGTCTTAAATTCGAGTCGTTCGTCTATTCCTATAAAAAAAACTACTTTCGCTACACTGCAATAAATTTTCGATAGATCAACATTGTGTAAAGTTACTTTTTTTATCCTAAACCATGGCTGTGACTGGTACTTTACGCACAATCTTCCTCGACAGAATAAGGAACATACTCTGCAGGGTAACCAATAAGAGCGGCGACCACCAGCGATAAACATTTCCATGGACGTAGTAATCGTGACATCTCCCAAGATTTATCTCTTAAACATGATATACGTCTTTGTCTTTGAAAGTTAATAAAACGAAATCAAAATTTTTCTCTCTTTTACGAAAAACACTTACAAATTTTTTTTGTAATCAATGCTTTATTAACTCTTCTTATACAAGGGTAATAAGCTTATAATAAATACAAAAGAAAAGAAATATACATA